GAGCACCTGTCTTACAGCAAATCAACAAGCACATTCAACTAGCAGACATGCGGAGTTGCAAACAGTGCAAAGCAGGCACAAGACTAAAGAAACAGAGGCAAAAAAAATTGAAACAAGCATTGATTAACTTTGAAGTTTGAACTTTGAATTAACTTCAATTAATTAATTTAAGTTCATAACTTCATAAAAGTTCAAAGTTCGAACGTTGCAGTTCAATTCAGAACGTCAGAATCTTCGGACTGGCAGCACTGTCAGTGCCTTCTCTCTCTCTCTCTCTCTCTCTCTCTCTCTCTCTCTCTCTCCAACGGGCGGAGGCGGGGGGCGGCACGTCAAAACGGACACTTTGAAATTGCTCGGGCCTGTGTGAAACCCGCCACCCCAAAAACCTGCAGTGTCTTGTGTCAGGACCTCTGGGCCCTGTCCGGCGGGGTGAAACGACACTGAAAAATCACCCCGTTATTTTTCAGGGGCATATTTTGCCTCCCCGACGAGCGTATCTTGTCATAGAACGCCTACCTGCTTCAATTTGTCTAGATGTAATCCAAGATGGCTCTAAGGTCCTGGGCCACCCCTTTTTTTTGTTTTTCAATTTTTGCCCTGGGGGCCTCCATCCAGACATCATGGACGGGACACCGGACCCGGACATGTTGTTCTGGACATTCTGGAACCTGGTCCGGACGTCCGGTCGGTTACCATATGGTTTGAACCACCCGTACTTCCTAAAGTCGTGCCTGTTAGCAAGCCAGGATCTTAGGAAAACGTACGGGCCACTACAGGAGCGCCCAAATTCATCCGACTAGAAACGTTTCTACTCTATTTTTTTTCCACGGCCAATAGCCGGGGCAAGTACTGGTGGTTTAATAGCACACTTTTACCACCGCTGCCTGAATCCAACCTGCCTGGTAGACACAGGGGTTATGGCCATCAAAGAGCCTTGCGGCCAAAAAGAATTCTTCGCCAGAAGATGGCCTAGGCCCCAAAATACGCTAAAGGCCGTGGGTGTCATTTCGTTCTTTGAAAGGGCAACGCTCTTGAGATGCATCAACTGGTGCCTGGACCCAGCTCATACATTCCTAATACATATCGTTCAGGCTGGAGGCTGTGGGGCCTGAAGCCATTTTGCCGCCATCAGACTTATTTGTCGAACCTCTCTTTTCTCCTGGCTTTTTGACCAGGCACTACAGTCTTCCCCCGAATACAATGCACGGCCATTATAGCTGAATTTGGTTTATCTTTCAGTCTAAATTCAGCTATAATGACCGTATGTTGTATTCGGGGGAAGACTGTAGGAACATGGCTGTGTCGGCGGGGTTTCGTTTTGGTCTGTTAGGTAACATTTTTTTTAGTATCTTGGTATTCGGCATTTTTTCTCTAGATTGGCGGATTGCCTAAATTGGTCAGATAGTTCCAAAAGAACTCTATATCTTCTTTGCCAAAGAGGGCCCGGGGTAATGGGCCCGGTGCCGTAATGATTTGTAAGCCTTTCATAAGGGACACTGGGCCCGGTTCCCAGCACGTGCTGCTCCCCACGGATAGATTGGAGCAATGTTATTTTTTGGTTTTTTGTTTTCAGAAAAAAATGCCTCAGGCCTCGGGAGCTGCCCTCGTTCTTTTTCGTTTGATATTTCCGACTAAGAATTCCTCGGAAGTCTTTCGCTCCTCAATTACAACAGTATCTTATGCACCAGGCAAATCTCTGACTCTACCTCCTCGAACCATAACAATAGAGTGATCTTGTAAATTATGTATAGCCTTCTCTCGGAATGTAATATGTATGCAGTAACCGCATTTCGATTGGTTAATCTCACATTAGCTATTTTGCGTAAAGCTGAGTTGGGTTTTTGTGCTATTCTTTTAGAAACACAAAGGCGTACGCCCCTGTACTCCATTCTGCCATGGCCACACACTAGGTTGAAAACTCAAATCGAATAGTAAGGTTTTCAAACATTTTTCTTTTTTTCACTTTGCTGAGTTTGCTCATTGTGATTCATTTAAAGGGGAAACTACGTGGGAGTCGCAAAAAGAGTTTGGAAAATAACAGTTTGGGCAAAAAACAGTTTCAAATTGCACTTTGGGCAATGTATACAACCCAGCTTTCCGGTCAGGTAGGGTTGCATCGGGGTGTGTTATGTTCGGTGGAATGCCCGAAGTGTAATTTACTAATTTCAGACTGTTTACTCCTAAAATTTTGGAGGCTCGGGGCTACCAGACCACAATGGCTGGCAGCATCAGCCAAAAAAGAAAAAAAATAATGCTCCGCTGGCGGTGCGCCAAAGCTTGGCGCGCAGTGCAGCGCTGCCAAACGAGGGTGTACTGGTGCGTTAAGCCCCTCTGCTGAATTGTGTCCTGACCCTCCCTGACTCCTTGGGTCTGATTATTCCTGTTGGTTTGCAGGTGCTGACCACTGAACAGAACTTAACCCTGTTACCTTCTATACTTGGCCCCTCTCCCTTTCCCAAGACCCCTTGTTCGAAGTTATCCCTTATCTCCTTCGCTTTCTCCCAATTATATTTAATCCTCTCCCCCTGGTCCATTTCCATTGTGGCTTTTGTTTTCTCTCTTTCTTTTTTCTAATATTGCTCCAGTGTATTGGTGGGGAGCTACACATGCTGTAAAGCGGGTCCAGCGTCCCTTTGCATACAAATAAGATTGAGAAAGTGGCAAGGCTCAATCAAATATGCTTCAACCAGGGCTGAGTGGGGTGTGTGGGGCTGAGCTTAGCCCTCCCGGGTACCTGCAACCGCTGTTCGGTCAGCTCACCCCCAGTCCGGAGGGTGATGATCCTGAGTGGTAGACACTGGGTAGGATAGTGGGAGTAGGAATACCCCGGGAAGAAATTATGAGAGTGGTAGGTCGGGAGGGAGCCTCTACCACATGGCCGAGTGCCGAAGGTGACTCTCACCTGTCTATGATCCAGCCTCTACAACAACCTGGACTTGTTTTTTGACAGAAAAAGAAAAAAAAAAGAGAAAGTTGTGAGAAAAAATGGCATCCCTGCCAGTGTTGACTCTCCATTGAGTTTTTGAGCCCTTCTTCCACTTCTCTGATATGCATTGGCTTCTGCTCTAGAGTTTCCTGACATGATCTCTTCATTCGGATTATCCACAGACCCTATTCGCATATCATCTGGAAGCTTTTATATTCAAAGTGAGACCATCTCTTACAGACCCGATCGGCGTATCATCTGGAAGCTTTGATATAACAGCAATTTCGTAAAAATGGACATTTTTTATTTTTTGAACGGAACGGAAACCGACTAAATTGGCCTGATTGAGGTCGAAATTTTAGCTTTTGGGGGTAAAGCATTCTTAAAATGCCCTGCCCCCTGGATGTATCTGGACTTAGCTGGAGTCCCGGGAGTACGGCGTTTTAAGAACGCTGTACCCCCTGGATGCATCTGGACGTAGCTGGAGTCCAGGGGGTACGCCATTTTGCTCCCCCCCCTTCCCACTAATCTATCTATATTCTTCTCTCAATCTTCTTTATATATATTTTTTCCTCATCTATCTCATCCTCTTGCTACTCTATGTATAGTACGGGGGAACACCACCCAAACCTGGAACTCTCCCCAGCCCACGGGCCCAAGGGGGTAGGTGGGGACCACAGCAGTGGTGCGAGAGCAAGGCTTGTATCAGCCCCTCATCACGATGATGGGGGGTGATCAGGCATGACCGACGGGGGAAACCGGGGATGCTAGTGCCGATCATCTTTGGCCAGTCACTCGCATCTCCCCCTACCCCCCTCCAAACCCCACGTTAGCGGTGTCTAATGGCCAATACCATTGCTGCATGCAACCAACACTATTGGCCAAGGTCCTGCCAATGCTGGCTTGGACGGCCAACGAGTTATCTCTAGCTGGTAGAACACCAAGTATGCCCAGGCACGTACGTGAGGCCAAAGGGGATTGAACCCACGACCTCCTCAATGTAACTTGTGTGTCTTACGAACTGAGCTGCTAGGTCCGAATGGCCTGGGGTACGGCATTTTAAGAACGCCGTACCCTCAAAAGCTAAAAAATTCGACCTCAATCGGGCCAATTTAGTCGGTTTCAGTTTCCTTCAAAAAAAAAAAAAAAAGTCCATTTTCATTTTGCCAAAATCATTGTTATATTCAAAATGAAGACCATCTCTTCAGAGTTCTTGGGCCCAATAATATGGCCACCTGATCTTCTGGGAGGGAGTCACAGAGGCCTTGCTCCTCCATAGCTCCCTATCTATCTGCCACACCTGCCTTGCCTTCTGGCAGTCTTTCAAGCAGTGCCTCAGGCCCTCAGGGTCTCCCTCACTCCTGTGCAGAGGGCACAGAGCAACCCATACTTTCGAGTCCTTGGGTCCCTGGAGATGGATAGAACTAGTCAAAAAGAAATGTAATCCCGGGTGAGAAGAGAGCATGGAATTTATGAACAAATTTGCTGGAGCGGAACTACCAGTCGCACTTGGTCTTTGCGGAATGAAAAATTGGATGCTTTGTACTTGTTTTTCTTTACAGATTCATACAGAATGAAAATTTGGATTTTCCATTGTTTCGTATCTCGACTTGCCGTACGCCTTAATCCGGAATCATGGCCTGTGCATTTCGTTTGCTTTTTCAGATGTTTTTCCCCTATTCTTCTTCGTCTTTGTTTTGAATGGTTGACTCTGGCGCTTGCTTTGGCCCCTCAGGCCATCCTCTTTATACTGTGAATCCTTGGGTCAGTATGTTGTCTCTGTCTGACATGTCGTTTCATTTGGGACTTGGATTTGCAGGGTATTCTAGAGTGGAGGTAGCACATGTTGATGGCCGGGACTTGGTCATCGCAGGAAGGGTGCATCCTTTACAGAAGGAGCTTCCAGCACCAGCGCGTGGGGCTTCGCCGGGTTACGGACGGGAGTGTGAGAAACTCTCTAAGCTGAGTTTTTTCTGCTGTCCTGGGGAGTGAGAGGGGACGGGGGGTGGGGGATCAGGGGTTTGAAGAAGGAGAAATGGCAGCCAATGCAGGTCCACGTGCCTCACGTGTGGTGCACCATCATCCTCCGTCCAACCTCTCTGACAGTCAACAAGGAATTGGCTATGACTCTGAGCAGTGTAGATCAAGTAAGTGGATCTCCCTTTCCAATTTCCTGTCGAAAGAAGCAATCACATGCAAACACCCAAACACACAGAACACGCTTACGGCAAAAAGAGTGGCTTGACAGTGTGAAGACCAGATGACCATACMCCCCCATTCTCACCCTGGACCCGCCCCTCCACCCATTCTGCTGCTTCTGTTCTCTGCCCTTAATTCTAAGCCCTGGGCCATGCGCTTGCCAGTTAGACGCAGTCACACAGATGAAAAATGATGCGCTGAGTGGGTTGCAAGAAGAAGGGTCGACTGAGAGTACTGGGAGCACAAGAATAAATGAATCTCAGTGCTATGCAGCGTACTAGATGCATGAATGGCTCACAAAAAATACCCTGGCCCCTCCCCCTTGGCCATGCCACCCTTTCCCCCCCTGCCCATCAAAAAACATTCCTGACCTAAGGCCATTGAGGCCCCTGTTTGAAACCCCATCTCTCTCTCTCTCTCTCTCTCTCTCTCTCTCTCTCTCTCTCTCTCTCTCTCTCTCTCTCTCCCCCAAAGCATGTTTTGCTCAGGTTTGTGTTTGTGCATGAGAGGGAAACACGTGCTGTCGAAAGTATGGAGGGGAGGTGAGGAATTGCATCCAATGAAGGAGAGGGACGAAGATGAGGTGAAGGTGGCGGTACGTGCGATTCTTACACTGTACTTCCACGGACGTGATGCGCCAGAGGCGCAGGAGGAGGACAAGGAAAGCAGGAAGGCTGAGGGTTTCATTGCGATGATGGAGCGGGAGGAGGAGGTCATGAGAATTGTGAAGGAGCAGGAGGACGCATGAGGGTCTTAATTACGATCCAGGTTGACGCAGGTAATTGGCACCAAAATAGGTGAATACACCTTGTTGGGATCGACAGGGAGTAGGTGGGGTGAGGAAGTGAGAATCAGGGATCACTGTCGTGGAGCGAGAAAGAGTGAGGAAGTGAGGATTAGGCATCTGAGGCATACCTGAGTGGGAAGTCACAGACGTGCTAAGTTCAAAGATCACCCATGAGGAGAGACATCAATGTAGAAGAGCGGAAGCCTCAATCTGACAGGAACTGATGAGAATCAGGCAATATATCTGGCAAACCACTCGGCGAGGAGAGAATAATCACAGAAGCATACCTCCCTGCTACATCATTCACAGACGGAGTGGTGGAGGAGGAAGAAGAAGAGCAAGAAGATTCAGTGTATGGCTGCACAAATGATTATCCCCCTGTCAACTCTGCTCCTCTTGCCTCCAACAACAGTGCATTCTCAGGGCTTGAATTATAGTACCAAGCCTTTCTCTCTCTCTCTCTCTCTCTCTCTCTCTCTCTCTCTCTCTCTCTCTCAGCACACTCCTCTAAAACCTCAGAAAAGAATGGGATGGAGGAGAAGAAGAAGCAGAAAAGGAGGATGAGAAGACACAGAAGAGGAGGAGAAGAAGAAGAACCAGAAGAGGAGGAGGAGGAAGAGAAGAAGAAGACGAAGAAGAAGAAGAAGAAGAAGAAGAAGAAGAAGAAGAAGAAGAGATGGTGTGGTAATCATGAATGCAGAAATGTGATTACTACAGTGGCATGGCAATCAGTAATTCAACCTAAATCTGAAAGGGGTCTAGGTATCACTGACCCAACCACACTGGCTATGCCATTGTCAGTCCAATGGATTAAACATTTACTTTTTAGTCCACAAATCCCATGGACTGCATTGGCTCGAGAGCAAATTGCTAGGCTTGCACCCTCAGTCCCAGCTGGTACTGACCCCTCGGTATGGTTGGAGAATCGCTCTTGGTCTATTCCGAGGGGGCATACTCAATTGTTTGAACCCACCAATGACCAGGATCGTAATGCAGTAAGGAATGACTTGCACAAGGATCCGTTTTGGCCTAACCTCCTTAAGATTTGGCGCAGATTGCCTCTTCCTGATAAGGTCCCCCCCCAAAAAAAAATGGGAAGAAGTATGTCAACAACCTCTTCTTAAAAACAGGGGGCGGACACTCCACTACATGGATTCTCCATGGCACAGATGGGTGAAAAATAGAGTTCGTAGAATTGGAGACTTCTTCTTTTTTTTTTTTTTAATTAAAGACTCTGCAGGTTCTAATGGGGTGGGTGATACGAGCATCCCCTCCTACTAGGCCTGCTTGGTCACTCCATCAACTGGTGGGGAGTTGCACCTTCTGGAAACCGGGTCCAGCGTCCCTTAATAACATATGAAAAAGTTTGAAGATGATTGTATTAATACCATCGAAATGAAGAAAAAACACCTCTTCAGTCCATCAGGACCGCCAGATCTAAAAATAACATACAAGCATCTTTCCTTCTAATATTTAATTCACCCCCCCCGCCATACCACTGTAATTCAACTAAGGCTAATTCAGAAGGGGGAAATGGGTATGAGGAAAAAACTGGAGATCTGCAAGGTTCCTGGTTGAAGCTGAAACCAGTTCCGAAATATGAGCTGAAAATCCTTTTTGAAGGACCCTTCCTCCCCTTCCTCCCCTGGCCATATCACTTCACCCAAGCCCCCGTCTGCAGATTCCCCCAGCCAGTCCTTTTCAAATTGTCGGATTGCGTTATGGATATCTTTCTTCTGCTGGAATTTGCCTATTTTAGATTAAAGATTTGACCAATGATATCTAATTTCTGTTTGTACAAAATTAACAATCAGCTCCCTTTATTATGATCTTTCCAGGCCCACTCCTTCTCTTTCCCTGACACAACGCTTATACCATAATGTCCATATCATTGCCTTGTGACGAATCTCAATTTTTTTTTGTTGGAAGATAGACAATTGCAATCCCCGGGGAACCCAACGACCCAAGAGAATGACTTTCCAATCCCAGGGCCAATCAATTCTTGTTAAGCCCTTCTAGATACAATCCCATCTTCTCCATAGCAGTATCTGCTCCAGAACATTGCATAAATATATGCTCAATAGTTTCTCTAAATTTTCTACTAGGAAAAGCTAAAAGATAGGATTTAGCCAATCCTCTCTGTTCCAGTGTGGAACGATCTATCAGCCAATCATTTGTAGGCAGACACCGATGTACTATCTTCCATTGTAAAGAGGCAAATTTAGCAGGCCGTTGTTTGAGATTTTTGAAAAATTTGATGTGTTTAATCGAATTTATCTCAATATTAAGATGCCTGGGCCATCTTTCATGCAAAATTGCCGCAATGTTCACTTTTGGGCGAAAAAGGCGATAGGTTGCTTTAACTGACAGTGAATGAAGATGCGTGGGTTCCCCTCTGTTGCTAGTCTTCCAGACCCATTCATCTGGATCTATTGGAAGTTCCGGTATGGTGCACTCAAGATGAAACGCCCTCCACCCTCTGATGGAGGATACTACATTACTCGTATCCTATAAATGTGGTCAAAAGGAAAGAAAGATACCTTGTTCTCAGAGGATGCAATAAGATACTGATCCCTCTTGATTTCCATAAGACTGAACAATACTCCATCTTCTCGTGTGTAGATTACCTGACCTACTATCTCCTGATCATTATTTGATATCCCTACCACCCAATCTCCCTCCCTCAAAATAATGCCTTTTCTTAATGTGCGTACCCACGCCAAGGGAATAGAGAAAAGCATCTGATCCAATGAATTAGAGAATTGATGAGAATACCTGAGAGTCTTTCTCATGTGATCCTACTGTTTTCCAGTCTTTTTTAACTGTATCCCATATGTCCTTTATTCTTACCACCCCCCTTTCACCCATAATGACCAAGGTGTATCTGAGCTATTAAAAATACATCCGTTCTGGTCCGTGATCCATCGATTCCCAAAAAGAGGTTGCCGAAGCACCTCCTCATAACGAGAGGGGAAGGGTTTATTGGGAAGTGGAAGATGGTGCCAAATTCTGAGAAGAGACACCCAAAAGTTGTCAAGGATCAGATCGTTCCAGGCTTCCCCCCGGATCCCTACCTCCCTAGATTGGACCCGTGCTCTTGGAATGTTCCAAAAACGGTCCTCGGTCCATGTTAAGGGATGAGTAGTCTCTGTGGATGAAGTAGCTAACCTTTTGATCTGCTCAAGGGCCAGGGCTTGCCAAGGACTGTCCACGACCAGAATTAGTTTTATGATCCATTGAAGAGAGAGAGCTTGGCATTGGAGTGTAGGATCCAGCACTCCTAAACCTCCCCTCGACTTAGACTGTATAAGAGAGAGCCAAGCTACTTGTGGAATAACCTTATCCTGCTCATGATTACCTTTCCATAGAAAGGCAAATACCTGTCTTAGAAGGATTTTCGTGCGTTGTTGTTTTACAGGCCAGAGTGCCGATTTATACCACATAGACGCAAGGACAACGTTATTAATAATCAATGTTCTCCCAAAAAGAGAGGTATGTTGATTTTTCCACTAACTTATTTTGGATATTGCAGGCCCTTTAATCCAATCATCATTAATAACGGGTTTTCCATATGCTGTAAGAGACACCCCTAGGATCCGAATTGACGCATCCAAAGACACCCACCTAACTTTGGGCAGTTCAGGAGGACGCACCCCATTGGAATGTATCTACCAGCCTTGAGTCTTACTCCCCCAGTTGACCACCATATCAAATACTTGAGAAATCTCTCCAACAAGACCTTAATTTATTCCATGTTGGATATGGTGGCTTCCATCATGATAGCGAGAGCGCCAGCCAATATGGAGCTAATAGGTATTGCTTTTTCCGGTATTCCTGCAATTTGAAGATGTTTAAGATTATGATTATTTATGAGGTTAGCCCCCAATACTTCCATGATTATGAAAAAAAGAAAAGGAGCTAAAGGGTCTCCTTGTCTCACTGACCTTTGGAGGTGGATTTCTAGAGAGAGAAGACCATTTATTTGGACCCATGTCGTAGCATTGGAATGAAGAATATGCACCCATCTTCTCATTCTAGGACCAAAATTCATCTTTCGGAGACATGCATCTAGAAAACGGCAGTCTACATGGTTATAAGCTTTTTCAAAATCTATGAACACAAAAGCTGCATTTTGTTTAGATTGTCTCGAGAGCTTAACCA